GTTCCCTTTTAAAACTCATAGAACTTTCTGATTATTTTTTTTGCTGGGGGCACGTGTACTCATGAGACGGAGCTACCCCTCCCACCGCGGGGAGCGTGGTCATGCCGCAGTCCTCCTCATTGCTCCATGCTGCAATGCTCTGGGCGTGTTTTCCAGCTGCCTGAGGCCAGGATGGGAACGGCAGTCAGCCCGCGGGGTCACCCTCCTTACGAGGCCGGCCCGAAGCCTGTCCTAGGAGGCACTCCTTATCACCACGCGGAGCTCAGACACTGGCAGCTACAAGGCCCAACTGTTTTCTCTAAGTACAGTTTAAATGTGTGTGTGTGTGAGAGGGAGAGAGAGAGAGTGTGTGTATGTGTGTGTGTGAGAGAGAGTGTGTGTGTGTGTATGTGTGTGTGAGAGTGTGTGTGTATGTGTGTGTGAGAGTGAGAGTGTGTGTGAAAGAGAGTGTGTGTGTGTATGTGTGTGTGTGAGAGAGAGTGTGTGTGTGTGTATGTGTGTGTGAGAGTGAGAGTGTGTGTGAAAGAGAGTGTGTGTGTGTATGTGTGTGTGAGTGAGTGTGTGTGTGAGTGTATGCATGAGTGAGTGTATGTGTGAGAGTGAGTGTGTGTATGTGTGTGTGAGTGTGCGTGAGTGTGTGTGAGTGTGTGTGTGTGTGTTGCTGAAGAACATAAACACAAGAATATACACCAGTTTTCCCACTTATAGTCCTACTTGGGATTTAGGTCAAACTCAGTAGATTAAAATACAGCTTGCGGGACCAGCAGTTGGCGTAATGGCTATGTTGCTGAACTCCCATGTAATCAACTGTGGTTCAAGTCCTGGACCCGGTGGCTTAAACCACGGTGGGCACGTGTGTGTGCGTGCCCAAGATCCCAAGAGGAGAATAGAGGAGAAAGGACTGTGGCATGGCCATCCTCCCTGGGGGGTGATTTCTTACTATCTGTCTTTCTGTCTTTCTGGCGAACGTACGCGCCCTGTAGCAAAAACTTCTCAAAAAATATTAAAAATGCAGCTTGCATGTGTTTGCGGTGAGAACACTCAGTAACCCTGCAGTTTGACTCTCGTGCCGGGTCCTAATGAAATCAAGTGACCCGACGCGGGGTCTGCTCCCCGTCCCCCCGAGGCTGCGCGAGTGAGTGAGCTCCTGGCTTTAGACAGGAGCTTTGAGTGCCTTCTGTCTTCCCCTTTAATTAGAATCTGAAAAACTGCAACAGACCCTTTCCCTAGGCGTGGGCTTCTGGGCGGGGGAGTCCGTGCTCCCGGGCCACACCCGATGTCTGTGCGTGCAGATCTGCTCAGACAGGCAGGTCAGGTTTATAGTAAGCAGGGCCTGCCCTCATGCCCTAGAAGTGATAGGCAGTGGTTGTTCAAGACAGTGTCTTCCCCTTTTGTGGACCACCATAGGTTGTAACAGCTAGAAGTCTGCCCACATTTTCTGGTGTGTAAGGATCTCCCTAAAATAAAAGCTTATTGCAGCGACTCTAGAGCACCCTCGTAATATTACTCTTGTTCTCACGCCTACATTTGAATGGAGAGAACAGGACGGGATGGTGGCTGGAGGGGCAATGTTGCCTTGCTCTCAGTGGGTCATACCTGTGATGCCGTGTGTGTGTGTGCTGTGTGTTGCTTAGACAGGGTCTCACATGTCACAATCCCCCTGCCTCAGCCTCCCAAGCAGCTAAGTCTACAGGCGGTGCCCACACCTGACCCGGGAGTGCCGGGGAGTTGAACCTGGGCCTCGCAGATGGCCTCAGCCGGCCGTGCAGTAGAGCCCAGCTGGTTCTGTGCTGGGCTGCTAGGACTCGCCTTAGCGAGGGGCAGGAGGTGTGGACTGCTTGCTCTAAGGGAAGGCAGGTTGGATACGGCCCTCCGAAGGCCCGAGGCCCAGCGTTGCCCTTGGCCAGTGAGAGGCCGTTCAGATTAGCAGTGGGAGCCTGGCTCCTCAGGAAACATGGCTGGAGTGTGTTCTGAATCTGTGTTTACAACTGGCTGCTTAGCAGAACCCCTTATGGAGATTTTAAAAATACAAACATCACAGCCTCTGTTGTCTTAGACTCTGACTTAGAAGAGCTTTTTTTTTTAGAGAGAGATATTTTTGTAAGGGTGCGTGTGCTCACCGGAGTGACAGAGAGACAGAAAGTAAGAAATCACCGCCCGGGGGGATGGCCACGCCTCAGCCCCTTCTCCATTCTCCTCTAGGGATCTTGGATGCACACACGCCTGGTGTGAGTTTAAGCCACCAGGTCTGGGACTCAAACCGTGGTCGACTCTGTGGGAGTCCAGTGACATAGCCATTACACCAACTGCTGGTCCCAATTAATTTATTTCTTACCTTTTTAGTTTGAAATCATTTTATACTTACAGAAAAGTCCCCCCCATAAAAATAGCTGTGGTGGGTCTCTGTAGACCCTTCACCCCGCCTGCCCTAATGCTCTCTCATCCATGGCATAGTTACCAGAAACCGGAAGAGGAGGCCGCCAAGTACCGCTGCCTCAACCACAAGCACCGCGTGGGTTTCCCCAGTGTCTTCCTAATGTCCTTTTCCTGCTCCTAGAACCCAGTCCAGGCACGGCGTACTCCAGCGTCGCACCCCCACGGTCTCCTCACGGCTGCTCTGACCTGACACTTGAGCAGTGACCACGTGCCCCGGCCGGGACTGTCACAGAAGAAGTGCTGGGCCCTTCCCAGTGCATTACATGGGGTACGGGGTATCGACGAGCTCTCCACTGTCGGGGTTCACCTTAGTGACGTCATTGAGGTGGTGTGTTCTCTGCAGACGCTGTCCGCAGCCATGGGGTGCACTGCCAGTGAGCAGTCTCCACTTTCTGCTCCTAGGACATATGCTCCTAAGAATTGGCCAGGACACTAAAGAGCTTCCGTTTATGTGGTTCAATCTCCTGATAGGTACTGTATCAGAAAGTAAAACTGAGAAAGCTCTAAATATTCACTTACAAGGAATATAAGCCCCACAGCCAGCAGGTGGCATCGTGGTGTTGGCGCTGCACTCCCACGTGGTTGACCGTAGTCCGAGTCTGGGACCCAGAGGTTTGAACATTGCAGAGGGTGTGTGTGCGCGTGCTCCCCGAATCCCGGGAGGAGAAGGGACTGTAGCGCGGCCATCCCCGGGGATTTCTCACCTTTCCTCTCCCTGTCTTTCTCTGGCGCACACACATGCTCTATAGCATAATCCTAAACAATAGTAATAATAATAGCATAAGCTGTTACCCTGATAGAGTGGCGTTTTTACACGAGCGTTAACTGTATGTTCCAAAATAACGACCTCCTGATCGCAGTGGCGTTTCACGTTTAAGAATTTCCCACATGCCGGCCTGAGCGAGGCAGCTGGACCCTCCGGTCGGCTTGGCATTTGCTGTCGTGGCACTACGTGCAACGCGGTCTCTGCAAAACCCCCTCTGTTCATGTGAGGACGGCAGTGCAGAGGCAAACGGTTATTAATATCGCTGTGAAATCGTTTGGCTTGGGACTCCTCGGAGGCATCTGGGGAACCCACTGGGTGGCTGGGCTACTGAGGACTGCTGTGCTAGGCCTGCACTGAGACGCGGAGCGAGCCAGCGCTGGGCATTCCAGGACAGCGTGAGTAGCGTCTCAGTTTGCACCGCCCTGTTAAACAACTTCTCGTAAACGGGCAGAGCGGTGATGAAGCAGCAGGAGCCTGTCCGTGAGTCGGGTGCTGTGAGGTAAACGCACGCGGACTCTGTTTGAATTCCGAGTGTGGCATTACCGAGCGCATTAATGCCACTCGTGTTGCCGCGACAGTCACACAGGCCCGCGGCCCTGCTGCGGCGATGCGCTCCCGTGCTGTGATCGACGTCGTTTTCTGTCTCCCGTAGGCAGAGGCGAGATTGTCTGCGGGGCCCCCTGTGGGGTAATTGTGTGGTGAAGTATGTTCATTTACTACACATTCCTCCCAAAGGTGGGGCGTCTAAATCAGTCACCCAAACGCTCAGACCCAGCACCGGTGCCGCACGGTCTCGCTACCGAGGAGACCTCAATGAGATGCGCGTTGTCTAATGAATTATTTTGCGTTGCTCTTCAGCTTTTCAGAAAAAAGTCCTTAGAGAACTGTGGCATCAGCAAATGCCACCAGCACATCAGAGAGGCTGATTTTCTCGGGAATGAAGCCCGCGGACGCTCAGAAGCAGAGTGGTAGTGAGATGCACTCCGTTTCTGGTGGCGCGGGATTCCAGAGCACGTCTTCGAATGGGTCGTCTATGTCAGCACCGATAAGTTACGTGTGGGCCTCTCTACTTCAGTTTCACCAGTTATTTTCTTAAATTAATCTGTTCCTGTTTTAATTTCTACTTGGGAAGATAAAAAAGATGTAAAATTATTATTATTTTTTCGAGAGAGAACTTTTTTGCTATAGGGCGTGTGCATCACCGGAGAAGCAGAGACAGAGAGACAGTGAGAAATCACCCCCTTGGGGGGATGGCCAGGCCGTAATCCCTTCTCCTCTATTCTTTTCTTGGGATTTTGGCCACGCACGCACACGTGTGCAGCATGAGTTTTAAGCTGACCACATGGGAGTTCAGCGATGTAGCCATTATGCCCGCT